AAAAAAAAAAAAAAAAAAAAGGCACCGAATTCATTTCTATACCTAATAACTTCATCCCATGTAACATAAAGTCACGTTTGTAGATTACGAATCAATTATGAGCTGACCTTTGAACTTTTTTTTTTCAATTTCCGAGTGGATCGATTTAAATAGCTGAATCTGTGTCACAATTCTCTTTTTTTTCTTTTCACTCGTTGAAAATCGTTTCGAGCTATCTATTCTGCAAACTATGTCCAAAACAGGGAATTCACCGACCAGACGTGATCCAGATGATGATGGAGCACCAGGATGCAGATGGAAAGTGTCTAACAATCGAGGAGATGACCTATCAGGCTTTCGTTTTTTACATGGCTAGCTACGACACGGTATCCAGCATACTCAGTTTCGCCGCGCATGAAATTGCCGTGCATCCGGAAATACAGGCGAAACTGTACAGAGAGATCGAAGAGGTGGTTGCAAAGACCAATGGGAAGCCTACCTACGAGGCTCTAAAAAATATGCAGTACATGAACGGTGTAATCAACGAGGTTCTCAGACTGTACGCTGTGATTCCGTTTCTGGATCGAGTGTGTGTGAAAGAGTTTCAACTGCCTCCGGCAACACCTGAAGGGCAACCAGTCACCGTGAAACCAGGGGACATCGTCTGGTTCCTCTCGTTCGCGCTTCAACGCGATTCAGAACATTTCCCAGACCCGTTGAGATTCGATCCTGACCGATGTTTGTCGCCCATCGAGTCTTCTCAGGCGACTTACATACCGTTTGGACTTGGTCCTAGACTCTGTGTCGGCAACAGGTTTGCTTTACTGATGTGCAGAGTGATGTTGTTTCACTTGTTGTGGCGGTGCGAGCTGCAACCCTGCGAGAAGACTTCAATCCCGATGAAATTCAATAGTAAAAGCTTCGTACTGATGGCGAAGGAGGGATGCTGGCTGAAGTTTCGAGCCAGGGACATGAAGATGAACTTCGAAGATAACAAGATGGCGAACGGGGCCAATTAAACGCAAGAGTAGCACTCGCGAGCGAAGATTAGATTTTCGTGACGTGTGACAGAGCTAGTTGGCAAATACCTTTTTGATAAAGTAACAGTGAAAATCGGTCAGTGTTAAAATTAACAGAAAGAAATCCTTTCGTTTATAATCTCCAAATTCTTCTTGTTTCTATAACAACAAAGACTGTTAAACTTCAATGAAGTTTAATGATAAAAGCGATTATTATATCGATAGCGAAAGAGGGATGGTGGCTGAAGTGTAAATCATAAAATTCTTTCGATCGTAACTCCTGAATCCTTCTCGTTTTCGTAATAACAAGGTGTAGAGATCTGTCAAACTTGAGCGAAGTTTAATGGTGAAAAGTACCAACGAGATGAGATTGAAATTCCGAGCTAAGGATATATCTTATCTTTCAAAATTTTTAAATCACGAAGATAATCAGACAACAAACGGAATCAATTAGACAATACTGATACGCGAAACAAAGCTGAGGGAAAATTTCCTGATGCGTATCTCTTTGATGGCGAGTGTTTTTTTCTTTTTCTTTTTTTGTGCACGTGGTAGCACAACAAAAGACAGACGAAATTAAAGGAGAGAATGAAATTCCCTTCTGAATATTTGCATGCAAGGTCATTACTTCGTAATGTCGTTGCCTGTGTAACTTTAAACTAGTTTAAATTAAGTCTGTCGTGCTAGAGCTCGCTAAAAGCGAAGAAAAAAAACGCTTGCCCGGTGATTTGTTAGAAAGAAACCGAAAGCAACAATTTCGTAATGTTGCTAAACAATTTCTCGCTAAAGAAATTCACTTATCGTGTCGATAAGTATCTTTGCTTGCAAGCGTACCGCGTTTATTTCAATTATTTGGATTATTTGAGATTACAGAAACTATATTAGTAAAAAGCGATTGAACCGGTAATCGAAAGATCGATCCCTAAAAGAGCAGATATAATTTTTGCAAATTATCTTTCTTCCCAAGTCTCATTTTTCAAGTAATCGTTCACCGACTCATTTAAGTGATTCAGTCTCGCAGAAAAATGTAAACCGAAGAGTTCCAAGAGAATTTAATTTCAAGGTTTATATATCTGTCATTAAAATGTTACAGTAGAATGATTAATTCTTAATATCAATAAGTAATAATTAATACATCACGT